AAGGTACAAAAAACCAATAAAAGGCAGTCAGTCTACCACAAGACAATCCCCTAGGTTATGACCCAAAAAAATAACCTATACAAGACTATGTAAAAACATTAAAAAAAAAAAAAAAAAAAACCTTCCTACCTTGGGACATACCCTGGGTTAGAAACAAAACCAAAGAAAGCCATAAGACAATGCCCAAATAGGCTACAAAAAAAACCAACAACCACTCCCCTCGATCCGAAAAGACAAAGACTCCACTCTCAATGCCAAAAGCCCAAGGCATCAAACTAAAAAAATTAATTAAATTCTTTTTTTTTTTATGCCTTGTGTTTTGGTAACATTCAAACAATAAGAAATGACAGAAAAAGGGCCAACGAACCAGGAAAAAACCACCTAAGATGCCGCTGTTGCAGATGCAGGCAGACTAGCACGTCCAGCAGTACGCATACTGGCGTTGGCACTAGTGTGTGCGAATCTCAGATAATTTTTCTCTACACTTATTTATATTGTTTGATAATCAAAGCCAGACCGGCAAACGGGCGGGCCAGGTAGGTACGGGTCGGATAGCAAATAAAATGGGCACGGGTCTACAGGTCAAAAAATTTCACGGGTCGAGAAAATGCATGACCTGTACCCACACAGGCAGGCATAGGTCGATCTGCGGGTCACTTGTTTATTTTGCCTTTTAAAATTTTTCCTCTCCAATTTTTTTTATTTTTTAAGCTTTTTTCTCTTATTTATTTCTTTACTCCCACATATTTCACTTTCATATTCGTCTTCTTCTTGCCTCGCTCTCCATTTCTTCTTATCTTTTTCTCCCTCCCCACTGCATATTTTTTCTTCAGTTCGTCTTCTTCTTCTCCCTCTCTCCAATTCTTCTTCGTCTTTTTCTCCCTCTCCACTTTTTCATATTTCTTCTTCTTCTTTAGTCTTCACCCTTCCAATTCTTCTTTGCTTGATTGAGAGAAGAGATTGAGAGAAATATGGCATCGGTCTGTGTGTGAGAGAGATTGGCAAAATGATTTTAGGGTTTTAATTTTTTAATGATTTTTTAAATAAAATGCGAGTACCTCAGGCATTATCCGGCGCACCCGCATTTTTCACGTACAGACTGAGTATGGGTAAATTTTACGGATACCCATATCTGTCTGTTTGATGCGGGTACCCGTTGACCTGCCAAAACGGGTACCTCTTTGCGAGTCTAATCAAAGGATTGTTATAAGACTCTTAATTATACAAACAAGTTCAAAGAACTCGACAAAATGTAGACGAAATGCTACATCAAAGAGGACATCAACTGTGAAGGCAAGGCAATTTCATTATCTACTCTTGTGTCTTGCATATTGTTTGATCTTATTATTATTATTATTATTATTATTATGATTAAGAAATGCCAAACAATATTAATTGTCATCCACAATTTTATTTCTCACTTCCCTACGCCCTTAATATTGAGTTTTCTGTTTGGGAGATTGGTTGGAAAAAAAAAAAATTTAATGCTAGGAAATAAATAGTAGGACCCTTCACTCAATTATTTCAAAAGAAAAAAATATCTTCAACAAATTGAACAAAATGTTGATGTAAAGTTACCTCAAGAGCTAGCATATTGAAGACAGGTCAAATTATGTAGTCTATGCCACATATTTATTACCATTTTTAAGAAACGCCCACAGATAATTGCCGTCAACAATTTTCATCTCTCACAATGTAAATAAAAAAAATATGTATATATAAGAATTAATTCTCTAACGCCAAGGAGTTGGCTCAATGATCAAGGAAGTTTACTCCCTCCTTTGAATTCTTAGATTTAAACATTGAGCTCACCTATCACTATAATATTATGGTTTATATATTCCTTTGATCTTGTTAGGTGTTCAATGGTTTCCAAAAAAAAGAATTAATTATCAGGTGCAATGTTAGCATTTTGCCACTAAAATATTATAATTTTCAATTTAGTAATAGATATTTAGTATGAGTAAACTATTAGTAGACATTGTTGAAAAAAATTCTGTTTTAGAATAACAAACATCCATAGAAGAGCTCAACTAAATATATAAATGAATTTATTAGGGTTTGAAGTAACGTTATATTTTTTATCAATCATTGAACCATAACTAATAAAAGGAATATAAAACCAAGCTAGCACAACAATCCATTGTCATGGACAATTTATGCACAACTCGACAAATCTCCGCTGATATGGTGGCCATTAAATCAAGAATGTTTCAATAGAGGATTAAACCTAAGATCATGCGCATATCTACATTATTCATAATTCGTCCTAACCATCTGAACAACACAAGGGTGGATTTGCTGCTGTAAACTTAAGTTAATAGAGCACGTTGTTAAGACATTTCTGATGTATTTTTCAGTTTGCCTTATTCATTCTCAACCATAGAGAAAGAAGTCTCGGTGAAGATTCATCTGAAACACATTTTTCACATGTAATTATTGTTACATGATTATACTAACTAGAAGGTGTTTTAATAAGAAACGTATCTGCGATAGCTGTTGCACACCATTAAATAAGTGAACAAGGTGTACACGGACGGTCGCTAGCACCACTCTATTAGCTATAAATACCTAAGCAAAAAACCCCTCGTATTCAAAGTCCTTGAACACTCAACCTTACTCAAGCTATCAATTAATCAACTCAACAATGGCATCAAAATTTTCCCAATCTTTCAAAGTAACCCGGCAGGCCCCGGAACTGATCGTTCCCGCAGAGCAGACGCCAAAAGAAGTGAAGAAACTTTCAGATATAGATGATCAAGAAGGGTTCAGGTTTCAGGTTCCGGTGATATTCTTGTACAGGAATAATCATCCTTCGCCTGCAATGGAAGGGCGAGATCCAGTGAAGGTTATCAGAGAAGCACTGAGTAAAACGCTTGTGTTTTATTACCCTTTGGCTGGAAGGCTGAGGGAAGGGGAAAATCGGAAGCTTCTGGTGGATTGCAATGGCGAAGGGGTTTTGTTCATTGAGGCTGATGCGAATTTCTCACTTGATGAACTTGGTGACGAAATTCATCCGCCATTTCCATGTTTGGATGAGCTTTTGTATAATGTTCCGGGCTCTGACGGCATCCTTGGATGTCCACTGTTGCTTATCCAAGTGAGTTTACAAAGACTTCAAGTCGACTTTTCTCTTCATTTTTTCATATTAAATACCAACATCCTTAATTTTACAGGTGACTCGTTTGCTATGTGGAGGATTCATCCTTGCTTTACGTTTAAACCACACCATGTGCGATGGATACGGCTTAGTCCAATTCCTAAACGCCATGGAAGAAATGGCACAAGGAAAACCAACACCATCTGTAACCCCAGTATGGCAGCGACACCTCTTGAATGCAAGAAATCCACCACGCATAACACACATCCACCACGAATACGAACAGCTCGACGATTCCAACGACACTCTTCACACCACTAACCCCAACGATCTCGACCACAAATCCTTCTTCTTCGGCCCTGAAGAGATCTCCTCCCTCCGCAACCACCTTCCTCCCCGCCTCAAAAACAGTTCCACATTCGAAATAACAATAGCTTGCTTATGGACATGTCGAACGGCTGCTCTTCAACTCGACCATAACCAGACCGTTCGGTTTTCTTGCATAACGAGCATCCGAAACAAGGGCAGTGGAATACCTCGTCCTCAGGGCTATTACGGGAATGCGTTTGGATACCCCGCCGCATGTGCGAAGGCGGGGAGTTTGTGTGGCAGTGGACTGGGGTATGCAGTGGAGTTGGTGAAGAGGGCGAAGGCGCAGATGAGCGGAGAGTATTTGAGGTCGGTGGCGGATTTGATGGTGATGAAGGGGCGGCCCCGGTACACAAATGTGGAGAACTTCATCGTTTCGAATCTGGCGAATTCGGGGCTTGCAGAGGTTGACTTTGGATGGGGGAAGCCGGTGTATGGTGGGACGGCGGGAGCTATGTCGTTGATTAGTTTTTGCATGAAGTTTCAAAGAAAGGATGGGAAGAATGGGATTCTGATTCCGATAAGCTTGCCGAAATCAAGTATGATGAGGTTTCAAAAAGAGGTGAAGAAGATGATCGCTCAAGGAGCATCAACGGAGGATTTGTCTGAAATGAAACAGAGTGAGAAGTTAGTATGTAAGCTTTAATTAATTTAGTTAGCTCCAAGTGTTTGAATATTATAAATTATTGTGTGGTGAGGATTTAGAATGTCATGTAGATTGGATTTTTCCAACAGAATAAGAACAACCATGAAGTGGGGTATGCGTGTCAGATCATCCATTCTAATAAAAGTAATTTTATATGTATAAATTCAGCATATAAACTAATTGTATCAGTTTATTTTAGTTTGTTCTATTTATCTTTAATTTTGTTATAAGAGTAATAAGAACAACCATGAACTTCACATGTGAACGACTCCATTAGCCGTCGGAAAAGATAATGTGGTCTCACACCAAATGGTCCCAAAATGTGGCATCAATAATTCTCCAGTAGAATGGACAACGAACGAGTAAAATTATTCTCCTTAGGAGTAGTTTATGATAATAACCCGAGTATGAATTAACTTATTTCATCTCCTAAATTTTTTAGGGTTATTTATTATTATATGAGAATTCTTAGGTACAAATTGCAGCATCGAATGCCATTAACAAATACTAAAGAAAATAAATCTTACAACTTTTTATACGAAAATATTTAAATAAGGTTATGTATTTTAACAATTATCAATGCTAATAAAGCCTAATATTCTAATTTCCGATTGTTAAATCTCAAACGACCCAACGATTTTCAGAAAACAATTAAAAAAAATCAGCATGTGCATTTTTTGCTTTCACATATTAATATACAATGCCAGATTCTTTCACAGCTTCAACTCATGTGATTCACCAGGTAAAAGAAGAACTCAGCATGTGCATTTTTTGCTTTATGAATTTACATGGAACCCTAATAGGAATTTACATTTCTCACCCTCAACTGCCCCCACCACAAGGATCAAATAGGGAAAAATGTTAAAAAAAATCGAGGCCATCCCTCTTAACTCTCACTGTTTTTATACCAATCTTGCTTCGACCTACCCATTTTATAACAGATGGAAAGCAAATCTAATTTGATCAATATGAACTCCCTATAAATGGTGTCGAAATCAAGAAAGACCATTACCATTACATTTACAGACGATTTTATAAGATGGTGTGTTAATGAGCCAAGTCCTCGCTCCCGATGCCTATACTTGACTTGTCAATCATTCGTACATTGTATCGTTCGTATACTCTAGCCCTGTTCTCTGCCCACCACTGCTCCGCTTGTTTCTCACTAAAACGCTTCCGACTGCATTAACATTATACTCTTAAAGTCAAGGGTGCCTAGCAAAGTAGGAAAATTGAACATTTGTTTAACATAGAGAGATGAGTGTTACCTGAAGCGAACTCGCTTTAGATCCTTGACGCCGCCGGGGAGGGAGGTAAGTGTTATATATACACCAGGTTCATCTTGCTCCACCCATTCATTATCATTACGTGATTCACCTTCTCTCGTCCTATTCCCATTTCGTGTTGCTGCTTCCAAATGTCCCTGTCTGGTATGACCTGAAGTGCGAGTACTGGCAGTGCTAGACCCATTAGAAAGCAACTGATTGTTTGATCCATTGGACTCCGGTTCTGGAAATGCTGTTTAAACAGTCAGTTGGTCAAGCGAAACATTAGGTATATCGTTGGAAGCAGGACTGGAACCAAAAGAAGTAAAGGTAGGTGACTTGATGTTCCGTACTGCTCCCAAGGGAAGCCTCTCAGCCATGTCCTTTAACTATTTTCATCATAAGAAAGAAATGTTATGGTCAATATAGAGGAATCGAGGAAAGCACAAGTAAACTCAGTTAACCGATGAATCCATATCACAGAAACAAAGAATTGAATGTCATGGCATTTTAAAACATGTTTGCAATTGAATATTGTGTGCCAGCTATTGACGAAGCTGGAGGTGCTAAAAACACCCTAATAAATATGTACTGAAATCACCTTCACTAAAACTCACAAAAGGGATACTCTTATCAGCCACCGATCTACCTTCTCCCAAGCTCCCTTGTCGTCGTTCACGAAGATCCAGTCATCTCACCAAAAAAAGCCACTGCGACCATTGACTTCCACCACCGATCTGCCATTTTCCGGCGATGTCTCTACTTGCTAGCTGCTGATTCGCCCTCTCCATCATCTGAGCTACCCTCCCTGGTGTGTCGCCGTTGCTCTCCCAATCGATCGCTAATTTACATTGGCCAGGGTTGTGTTTGCTGATAAGAGCTTGAAAATATATATTTTGTTAATGATTTAATTTGATTATCTGTGGAAAAATATGTTTAAATTTTGGAATTTGAATTAATTATTTCATAAATACCTTTTATGGGATCACGGGTGTATTTTATTTTCAGGTTCAAACCAATATGTGAAGGAAAAAGAATGACGTCGATGGAATTTATGACGAGTAGGAACAAACGGTACAAAAATCGGAGTTGAAAAGACAAAGTTGTAACGCGTAGAAAATATAACGTAAAATTTGGAAATTCTTCAAGATGGGCATGCTTCGCTGTTTGGATCATAACTTGAGCTGTAGAAATCGGAATTCAACGATTCTTGAGGCGTTGGAAAGCTTATTCAGAGAGCTACAAAGTTTGTGTGATTACTTTACCAAATTCTGAATATCACAGACTCATTGGACAGAAAGAACGATCGCTGCAGCGACGGTTCTTATCATCACAGCGATGGATCACAGGCCTATTTAAGTTATTACATTCTCCTAGTCCGAATTTGAATGGGTGAAGGCATTTAATTCTTTTCTGAGTAACCTCCAAACCCTAGTACTATAAATAAGGGTCTTTAAGTAGTTTTAAAGGGGATTACAGAAGGAGGAGAAAGAACGGCTACTACTTTGGAGATCGGAATTCTTGCGATTCTCGTTCACAAATTAGAGAAGTTTTTCTATTTTTCTTTCTTGAACTCATGTTATTAAATACAATGGTTGTTTTTATTACTGTATTCTTGAACTAAATATCTTTTCTAGGGCTAAGATTTAGCGCACTTTATGAACATGTATTGACTTAAATTGTTGTTAATTCTTATTGAGCTTTTAATTCTAAGTTTTATTATTGTGCATAATGCTTTCAATTCTTAAGGGCCTGAGAGTTGAATGATTTTATGGGTTGGGTTGAGATCGAGAGATGAAACCTGATTAGTCTAAGGTAATAAAACCATAGATTGAGCGAACGCTAGAGATAGGTTACCGCGATCTGTGAGGCTCTGGTAAATTCCATAGAACTTAATGATCTCTTAGCTTCTAAATTCAACTTAGAGATATTTTGGGTTGTTGCTTAAGGGTTAATTCGTTAATTGTTCGAGAGAAAGTTAGTGGAATATTAGGGAGTTTGGCCTTTAGAATAAGCTTAATTCGGTTAGCAATAATTGTCAATGCATATGATTAAATTGGTGTGAAATCTGTGCCCTAGGTTTAGTCATATTGATTTCTCTACCAAAGTATTTATAAAATTCTGCTTTTATTTAGTTTTTAGTTTATATTCTTTTTCATTAAATTCAATCTTAAAATTCTGTTTCATCAAATAGCAATAAGATATACTAGTTTGGTACTTGGTAAGTAGTTCTCTTTGGATTCAACACTCGTTTACTCGAGCTTTATTACTTGCATGATTTCATATACTTGCGAATAGCCTGTCATTTGCTAGATTTCAAACTTATAGGGTATGATGGTATTTATCAGGGGTGTTTTTGTTATATGTTAAACCTGTCAAACCATCGGTTCAACCGGTTGAACTATGACTCGGCCATCAGAGCGGGTTACCCTTCGATCCGGTTTTTAAAACAATGGGTACTTGTTTCAACCATAAAATTTGGCATAAAAAAAAAAAAAAAAAAAAAAAAAAAAAAAAAATTCAAGAAATTAGTTAATATAAAATTGAAGGGAAAAAGATAAAAGATCTCTACCCAAACCTGATAGTTCCCCAACTCTGTCAATTTTAAACAGCTAATATCTAGCTCACAATCTATTTTAAAGACTAAAAATAACATAAGTTAAACTGAATAGTTGACTAAAGCATCCCAAACCTGACACCAAAGCTTTTCAAACAGTAAAAATGATTTGGAAAGTGATATATAATTTGTAAAAGGAAGCACATACACTTTCATTCACATAAATACCACCCTATGTATTTTATGAATTAGAGGTGGGCATTTGGAACTGGGCCCAAAAGCCCAATCCCAAAACTCGGTCCTAGGACCGTTTTGGGACCAGGCCTAAGGAGGAGGGCACGGGCCCTCTACTGGGCCCTCCGGTCCCAGGCCCGGGCCCAAAATTTTTTACACATTTTTGTTTTAATCCTTTATATAATTGCATAAAACCCCCTATAAATTTTAAAATAAACATAAATTATAGGGGTTAAAAGGAAATTTTACAAAATTTATTAAAAGAAAAAATCTTCCACGCCTAAAAAATTTATAAATTTTATAAATTTTACCCCTAAAAAATACTAAAAATCCCTTACAAAATTTTGTTTTGCCCCCAAAATATAAAAAAAAATCGAGGGGGAAAAAAAAATTTCCAGGCCCATAGGACCGGTCCTATGACTCGTCCTAGGCCCATAGGACCGGTCCCAGGCCCATGAGTGACTGGTCCCATTTGGGACCAGCCCCAAACGGGCCCAGGCTTGGGCCTGCTTGGGACCGGTCCTTGCCCAGCTTTAATATGAATACACCATTTCCATTGGACTGATTTACGCTTCACCAAGTTTACCCCAATAGAGATGATATCAACTATTAAATTTTAAAGAACGTAACCAACCAAAACTTTATTTTAAATTCCATCATTAATACTGGCTAACGAATCCATTTTCACAAGTTATAGCTGCAGATGTCAAGCAAATGTGCACATGTTGAGTCATTGACGACTAAAATGCAAAGTAGAATAAGCCAGCCTTTCTACTAATCATTCTACCAACTTGTTACATTGCCTCTCCACTTCAGTAAAGAGGGAGGATAGAAGGGAACAAATAAAAACATTCAAATCTTGATACTTACTAAACTAATGTCTGTTGACCAAAGAAAGAAAAAAGGTCAAAAGGTCAAGACTGTAATTTGTCTATTAAATCCATGTGGTGTCGTTTTTGTGTTTACCATTGTCATCTCTCTCATTTCATATAAAAGAGAGGTTAACTACAGTTTATTACTTTACATAAAAAGAAATACAGATCTACGAATTTCAACTTACAATTTTCTCTCAATTTTATTCCAAATCTCACATGGTATCAGAGCCTGTAACTAGCATCCATGGCTAAGGTTTCTGATTTTCAGTCCGACAATAACATGGAGAAGATAGTCCTCGATTCAGCTCAATCTTCACTGTTGAACTCTTCTCAACCTTTAATCTTCTCATTTAGCCTACAAGTAGTGAGTCCGAAGCTTACAAGGGATAATTACAAAGACAATTACTGCTTCTGGAGGTTGCAAGTCTTATCAGCCGTAGGAGCGCATGAATTGGAGGAACATTTGACAGGTTTTGTTCCTTGTCCTGAACCCTTGATTGCTTCAGAAATTGATTGTTCTACTGAATTAATTGAAAATAAGTTTAAAGAAAACCTAACTAAAGGAAAAATTAATCCAGCTTATATAGCTTGGAAAAAGACGGATAAGCTTCTTGTAACTTGGCTCCTGGCCTATTTCGAAATGTATGTTCAATCATATATCCAAATGTCAGTTTGCCTCTGAAATTTGGTATAGCCTTGAAAATGAATTTCTTATCGATTCCAAAGCAAGAGCACTTTACTTGAAGAATTTACTTCAAAACAATCAAAAAGGAAGTATGAGTGTAAATGAATTCATTAAGAAAATGAAAGGGATTGCTGAAAGTTTGTCCTCTAGTGGTCAAGTGATAACTAATGAAGATCTTCTTCAGTATGTATTGGGTGGACTAGGGCCAGAGTTTGATGCTGCTGTGGTTAATTTGACATCTCCAATCGAATCTAAGTTTGATTCAATGACATTACAGGAAGCTCAATTCCTGTTTCAAAAGTATGAGATGAGACTTGAAAAGTTTAATACTGGTGATTTTTCTAATAGCTCAATCAATTTAGTTTCTCTCAATAATTTTGGTGGCAAATCTGTACACTCTGCTGCTATGAAAAGATCTACCAATGCAAGTGGTGATGTAACTGGAACTCCAAATGCACTCAACAATATGATGACTTTGGGTCATAATCTGCCTCTTGCAGCAATTTATCAAGCTTATGCACCTTCTATTCATGGGGATCCATATTTCTCTGCTAGACATCATAATCAGTTTGGTGGATCTTTTAGTGCTCCTTTTCCATCCTTTAGAGCACCTAGTTACAACACCTTTGGAAGAGGAAGAGGCTCAGGTATTGGTCAAGGTGAACCAATCTGCCAAGTCTGTAGTAAAATTGGTCATATAGCAATTCAGTGCTACCATAGGTATAATTTGACCTATAATAGAGCTCCTCCACAATTTAATGCTGGTTCTTTGTCTCAGTATGGTGTGAATTCTGCTTAGTTTGGGATTTCATCACCTTAGTTTGGTTTTAGTTCTCGGCCAAACTCTAATTCTGCTAGTGGCCTTTCACAAGCATTTTAGCCTAGCATTTCTTCTTTTGGAACCAATTTGCAACAAGAAGGTACCAATGCTTCTTTCTCTACTCAGCAACAAGGCTCACAGCAACATAGTTTTTCAGTTCCCAGTCAACAAATGCAGTCACCTAGCCAAGCTTACTTTGTGTCTCATCA